TCTCTTTTCTCAAGTCACAGGCGACAGGACAAGAGGAAATGGCCTCAAGTTGCCCCAGGGGAGGTTCAGGCTGGATATTAGGAAACATTTTTTCACTGAAAGGGTCATCAGCCATTGGAATGGGCTGCCCAGGGAGGTGGTTGAGGCCCCATCCCTGGAGGTGTTCAAAAGACGGGTTGATGTAGTGCTGGGAGGTATGGTTTAGTGATGATGCTCCTTGTTTGTTGTGTGGGTGTCTATTTTTGTCAGTTAGGTTGACGGTTGGACAAGATGATCTTGAAGGTCCCTTCCAACCTAGAAGATTCTGTGATTCTGTGATTCTGTTATTTGTCCGTCGGGGCACGCTGAGAACCTGCTGTGGCTCAGCAGACAGGTATAACCTGCCACTAAAACAGCAAAGTCCTCGGTGGGACATCACCGTCCACCAGGCACCTCCAGCAAAGGATAAGTTCAGGGAGAGGGCAAGCCTTTATATATTCTCTGATTAAATCCCCAAATATGTTGGGGTTTTAGATAATCTGGGTGTGATCCAGCTGCCTAAAATAGGTGTCCTGTCCCACCTGAGAGATCCTGGATATCTGCCACATTCCCCTGGGCTGGCAGATGGACACAGGAGCCTGGAGAGCTGTGTCCTTCTGCAGTGGCAGCTAAAGGCCAAGGTTGACAACCCAGGGAACTAAGGCCAGGCTCCAGCAGCTGAATTTTTGCATTTATCTGAAGCCACAGGACCCAAATCACCTTGTTGAAGGCCAGGCTGAGGATCTTCAGCTCAGGAAAGGGAGCACGAACACCCCTGTGCGTGGAGGGAGCCAGCAGAGCCTTACAGGCAGATGGATCTCCTTCCCTGGGTATAACCTTAAAGAGAAGAGGAAGAGGGTGAGCAGAGAGGCTGTTCCAGAAGCTCCAGTGGCAGGAGACACCCCCAGTGGCAGGATACCACCATCCTGAGTCCAAACATGGCTATAATTTGGAGAGCTTTGGTTCAGAACCACTTTGGAGGTTGTCTCGTGGCTGCTTACTTTGATTTGAGTCACATCAAATGCACCAAACTCCATCATCCAGCACTGAAAACGTGCATGGGCTCAGGAGAAAGCATCTGTGCTCTCCAGGATCATGCGTGTGCACACGTATGTGTCACACTAGAACATGCCCCAAGTGCTCAGCATCTCTGCAGCTCAACCCCTAACTCAAGTTCTAATAAAAACCAGGGTCTTTGGCTTCAAACACCTGATTCTGAGGAGCATCATGTAAACAGAAATGGGGGAAAAAGGGCTAAGAAGGAATAAACTCCCAGCTCCTGAGCTTCAGTCCCTGCCTGAGCCACAGAACACCCTTCCCCATGCAGGGAGGGCACATGGTCATGAGCAAATGGTGACCCAGCTTTTATTTGAAAGTGATATAAGTTTATTTTCCCTGTGGTTAAGGAAAAATTTGCTCCTGGTCTCCCTGCTGAAGAGACAATATTCACTGCAAGCCTTGCAGGCACTCAGAGCTCCAGCCATACCCACAGGCTTATTGAAACTCAGCTGAAGGGAAATTTTGGAGCTGACACCCCAAAGTATAGAGCAGCCAATGGTTCTTACCGGCGCCGGGCGTTGTTGAGAGCCAGAATTAAAAATGACCTCTGCAATGAAACACAAGCAAAGTGAGGGTTTCTACATGGTAGCACCTGAAGCTGAGCTCTGGGCCGACCCCATGGCAAAGCTTGGAATCACCCTGGAAAAGCAAATTAGGCATCAGGCAGGATCTGGCTCCGTGGTGAGGCACGAGGGAGGATCACTCCAGGTGAGGTTCACATCCCTGAGAAGAGCAGAAAGCCTGCTGGTGGCCTCAGGGCAGCCAGGAGGTCCCAGCAGGTAGATTTTGGGTTGGAGTCTCACCCATGAGCACGAGGCCTTTCCTACATGGTGCTGCTGTCACCAGGCCAGTGCCAAAAGTGGCCCAGTTGCCTGCTCCATGAATATCTGACAACAGGGACTGCTGCAGAGAGCCAGGGGACAGGACAAGGGCTTGGAGGAGCCCCACCAGGAGCCACCATTGCAGCCTGCTCCACACAGGAGACACCAGGTGGTCTCTGGATCCATCCCAACGTGTGGCCCAGCATGGTGTATGCATCATGCTTTGGTAAGGACATCCAGAGAGGAGAGCTGACCTACCCCAGGAAAGCAGACCTGTGCATGGGCCACCTGCACACACAACCTTCCTGCCCTCTGCCTGTCCAGGATCCACAGTAATCCACTTCCTAACCTCAATTTTTTTCCCATTTTTGTCAGTTTTCCTCCCAGCCAACATGCAGTGTCCCCTTTGGGAGCAAGCTACCCTGGAGAAGTCACAGAATCATAGAATGGTTTGGGTTGGAAAGAACCTTAAAGATCATCCAGTTCCATCGCCCTGCCCTGGGCAGGGACACCTCCCACCAGACCAGGTTGCTCCAAGCCCCCTCCAACCTTGAACTCCTCCAGGGATGGGGCAGCCACAGCTTCTCGGGGCAACCTGGGCCAGGCTCTCACCACCCTCACACCAAGGAAGTTCTTCCCCACATCTCAGCTCCATCTCCCCTCTTTCAGGGTCAAACCCTTCCCCCTCCTCCTAGGGCTCCCCTCCCTCATCAAGAGTCCCTCCCCATCTCTCCTGGAGC